GTGTTTTATTGTGCAGTTGAATCGCGAAAACCACACTAGCTCCGTGTTCAGTATACCAACCAGGGAAACAAATAATTATATACCTGCGTGCGTATCGTGAAAGTATCGTATATACCGATATAGTAACGATACAATTCTGGCCACAAGTGTGATGTTTAAATCTACTCCCACCCCCTCCTCTTTCATACAACACCTGCTACATGGCTGACCAGCAACTAATGGACGAAAATTATTAGCTGAGGTGATCCGTCATGTAGGGTGATTTACTTTAGGTTCTTAATGAGCGGCGGTCGGTGTGAAAGTGCCAACCTGTCGTCTGTGGAGATCTGGATGGCAACCAATCAAGCTGAGTTCATTGATCAGGTGCATATCACTTTATCCCAGACACCATGAGCGTATTAGGCGCTGGCACCCTTTGCAGCTACAAAGAACTATGTATATCCTTCTTATACAGAGCGAGAAAGACCATAAAGCATGGGCTGTGTGGGTAAAAGAAAAAGTACAGCTGAAAATTGTGTGTTTTTGTTTGTTTTGCAGTTATATAAATATTTTTTTTGCAACCATGGCTTGAAAGGAGTTACCTTGGCAACTATTGTATCCTTGTATATAAATGCAGGTTGTTTCCCGACCAATATGGTTGAGCTGGTTTAAGTCCAATTGCAAGGGACAAAGAATGGTAGTGGCAATCTGCACTTCATTATAAAACGTGATAAACAAGGCAGAGCAAGTGTTAGAAGCTAGTTTATAATTTAGGATGAGGAAATGAAGGATTTTCGAGTGTGAATAGGGCATGTCGGTTGTCTTTGAACTAGCAGCGGCAAACAGATTAATTGGAAGGCAATAGACGTCATTCAACTGAATTGTTTACATCCACTCCTCGCGGCCGCCTTGAAATAATTCCGTCTGTACACCGGACACCGCATACAAAAACCAAACACTGATTTAAAGCATGGCAAGGCACCAAACTATTCTGTACCTAATTTGCATGTGCAAGATTTTTGAACATACAATGATCCAGTAACAGGGTGAGAGAGAAGGAAGTGGGCGCGTACTGCTCGACACCATGGAAACGAGGTTTAATGGTCATAGTTGGAATTTTCTCCCAAAAGTCATTGGTTAAGCCCAACAAATTTAACAGAAATTGAAAGATGTTGAAATAAGCTTTCACTATTTTGATGAGTGTGTCTCAAACACCTTGGAGAGTTATAAGTATTTTCATAATGGGTGTAATTATCACTGACGTCTGTATGGCAGTTTATTTACTGGTCTGCAATCTTAACTTCATGCTGGTCAAGTAAAATAACGGGCAGCGCTCAAAATTCTGGTTGTGTAAAATAGCTTTGCCTGATACAACAACTACTTGAAAGCACTTAGGGATTTACCAAATTCGTGTTTGATTTCTCGTTGACAGGGCACGTCTGATTGTTTATTGTAACCTATCCTTTATAAGGTCAATGAGGTTTCCGAGAGAGTTTGATCAATCAGCCTCCTACGCCGAGAACAAGAAGAAAATAATGAGCACCACAATCTTGGATGACATCTTGGGCTCTGACGTTTGCATCTTGAGCTCCCCCGGGATGTGGAGGTGAGTGTTAAGGATGACTCTGTAATTAAACTGCTTATTAATCAAAGGTGGAATTAATGTAAACATCTGATGTGATATCAGTCGCAGTCATAGAAGAACAACGTGAGCTTGAGTAATTATTCTTCTGACTTGTCCTATCTGAACTCATCCTGTACTTTAAATTAATGCAAAATAATACAGTTTTGATGAAAATCCCCATGAAATACGATATTGGCATATGCAATAGCGACGCCTCCACTCAGCAGCTTATTATTTTTACAAGTAACTTTGTTGAAAAAGCACTTGAAACCAAATATTGTCGGGAAATGTAATAATTCATGCCAGAGTAAATGATGCAGTGATTGTGTTTCATATCAGTAGCTAGGTTAGGTATTCATTTCAGTGCTTATAATGGTCATAAAGCAGCCTGACAAAATGAAGCAAGGATAAGTGTGTGTAGGAATCCATACTGTGAATTTGGGTTTTCATAACTGCGATATTTGATCAAAGAAACCTTAGCCTCCAATTCGGGACAAAACCAATCCTGCCGTGGCTGTACGTATTAGGTGTCCCGTTCTTTTCTCTTTCCCCCTTCGCTCTTGACAATTCGTGGCTAGGCCTTGATGACAATGTTGATTCGTCCCTAATTCATGAAAAGAAATACAAAATATATCACATTTCTTGGAGACGTTTTATTAGATTTTTGAGGTCTGTGTTACGCACGGCAAAGGCAAAATGATGAAACAACTTCAACTTTGTTATTACAAGACACAAACAGTACTGAATATCGATTTACAGCTGCCGCATGTAATGGTATTCCTTTCTGTCGACAAAACAATTCACGGGAAGGGGTTCAGGAGACAGTTAGATTTCCCCTGACTTTTCAGTGAAAAAAATCCCTGGGAATCGAGCCCGATATCTGATGTTGTCGTGGACTATTCCATGATCCACGTGACTCTTAATGAAAGGTATCCTCAGAGTAGCAGAATTGACAAAGCCTGCAGGCTTGAGGCCAACCTCCCTGAAGTATATGTTTGGATATTGACCACAAACCCTGGGAGGAGTAACTATACGAAGTTTAAAGGAACTGTGTTCATGAGGCGAATTGGCCACACAATTAAGGGGGTGGATGATTATGTTCTTATAGCATAACTGATAATCACCTTTAAAACATTTTCCAATAATTCATTTCGTGGAGTAGTTTATAGATTGACAGCGTGACCGTAGAGAATGTTGGTTCTCTTAGTATTTCTATTTGCGAGTTGCTTTCTCCCGATCAACAAAAAAATATCAAGAATTAAGACTTACCTTATGAATCTCCAAGCAAAACAATTACGCGCCGCACTTATTCATTTTTCTTGTGAAACTGCTGTTGCAACCCAGCTTCAATGCCAGCCAAATTATATTGTGCGTAAATTGGTTTTACAGAAATAGAATTAGCTCTTAATTGCTCGTATTCAGGCTTGAGAAGAATCCGTTCCATTTTTATCGCACCGCATAAATATACACGAAGGCTGCGTAAATTAGACCCTTAATCGTTGATTGTCCTCGTTTGAGCCAAAATCAATATTTCACCTTTTCTGACTTGTAATATGCCAATATGAAAACCTCGAGTGGTGCTGCATTCTAACAGTAACAGATTTACGCGAATATATATATTTTTGCCGGGAGCCTAAACGATTAATAAATGCAAGCTTGAGTCAAAGAACTGCATAATTTGTTAAAATACATATATAATGTTTAAACAAATATATCTCATCTAATAGTTTAAGGCTTGTTTATCTGTTTATTGTAACTTTTAAAATGTAAATAGTAGGTACAAAAATTGTGGGTCAAAAATTATGACAAAATGTTTCTCGACAAACACGCTTTTAACTGCTGCGTTTTTTAAAACGATTCATATTTCCTTCGACGAATGCAACCAGTCAGTTCAAATTTATAGTACGCCTCTATCTCTTCCAATTTATCCGTAAATGACCCCAGTCACGTGATGGATTTTCCCCAACATGGTTGTCCTGATTTCCCGACGGACTTTCCTGCTGACACCCCTTGCCTATATCAGCGCTCACTGCCTTTCGTGTCTTGGAACGACACATTTTCATCCAAATGAATTTGTCAAGTTTCAACGTGGAAGATTTGTAACCGATTTGCACTCGTGCCATCCATATCGAATAGCAATAGCAAATGTTTTGTCTTGATTTATATGTTGATTTGAATTTAGTTACGGTTTACTCAGTGATGTTGCAGACGCCCCATCACTGTAAACTGTATTTGTCCATTAACCTAACATTTTCAAAATCGAGACACTCAATTCAGGGACACTCCAAGTCCTTTTGAATGTTGAAATTCAATGCAGAGGATGACTCGCTTAATGTGAAAGGAAAATGCCATGGCACGATCGACTGAACCCCGTTACAAGCCTGTCATCCGAAATCCCTGCTCCCACTTGGGAAACACAAAGCTGCCTTACTCGATGTTTCTAACCGATAAAAAATAGGACACTTCAAGTTGCCTTGGCAACATCGTTTCAGATCGAGGGTGAAATATGATAAAAATAATCATAATTGTGAGCCTCAAAGAAAACGGATTTGTAATTTTATCACAAGATGTCCGTGGCGATTGTAGGAACATATTAATTTGATTTCCAGCGGGGAATAGAGATTTTACAAGAGTGGAAATGTGGTCGGTTGCTTTTCGTGTGGCAGATTGCGATTTGAAATACCGAATTATTATTTGATAATAACTCAAGACTAACATCACCAAAACTGTATCTATAAATTTGACTACAACAACATGACATCGGTATTTTTTCCGTCTGTCATCTCCCTGTGCAAGAATGAAGTAACGAAACAGTATTTTAACGTGTTACATATAACAGATTAGAGTATGTTGGCTAGGTATAGAAGAAAATAATATGTATTCATAAAAGGTAAATCTTTTGTGTAAGCGGTGAACGAACTACGCCAAACTCAGGAAATTAAAAAAAACCTAGTTCGTTCCCACTTGCACTTTTTTAATGTTAGGCGCGAGCGAACATTGCCGGCACCTCGCTCGCAAACCTAGTTACGGTCTCTAGTTTTCTCGATTCCCAGAGAGAGTTCTTGTATCAACTCTCGCGGAATATTGCAAGATCGATAAAAAGTAGAGAACCCGACAAAATGGAGACGGACAGAAAGGGAAATCCATGGCGTGACTGTTTGGTAATCCATAAGAGCAGTACGTGACCTGAGTTGACTATGAAGCATGCATTGAGGGATGGCCGGGAGGAGGAAATGGCGCACTTAGTGCAAGGCAAGGCGTGGTTGAAAGCATTCACAGTTAGCCGAGTATATGCGCTGCTGGCGACCGTGCAAGATAGAAATTCACAAGATCTAAAAACACGCGACGAGAAAGCAGGCACGGACAGCAACACCCCCGGTCATGCGCAGTGTGTACTTGCTGCGCTCACTGCATCGCGTTCGTCGTAGGAAGATAGCACCGAGTTAGTATATTAGGGCGTATATCAGCGCTGTGTTCCGAGATATGAGCCCAGAACGTTAACGGACGCTGAAGCATATTACTATTCTTGATTTTCCCCGAGTGAGTTAAGGTCAACAACGCAAGGATGAGTTGGAATATGAATGATACGGATGCTGTCTGTTCGCAAACTTTTCTTGTGGTAAAAAATGCCACTGATTTGTTGAGCTATACGCCAGCTGCCCAAACAACCATTACAGTAATACTGCCTATTTTACTGGTATTTGGTGTACTGAACAACATCGCCTTTCTCTTTGTTGTATTCCGAGTACGTGGCATGAAAACGGTGACCAATGCCTGTCTAGCTAATTTGGCTGTTGCCGATATCATCTTTTTGGTAACAGCAATAGGACAGCGTCTATACGTGTACTGTAAGTCGCCTATCTACGCTGATGCTGCACCGATAGGGCTGATTGGTTGTGAGTTAGGAAACCTCACCAAAAGTACCACTTACCTGGCTGCCTTGTGTTCCGTCACGCTGGTGTCTATGGAACGCTACGAGGGAGTATGTCATCCCCAGAGAAGCCACAATCGAACGGGAGAGAAAACCTATCGCTGGCTGCTGTTGGCATCATGGTTCGGAGCCCTAATGGTGTCGGCAACCTTTATACCAAGCTACCTAAGATATGAAACAGTCTGCATGATATGGCCCGAGGAATATAGTCACTGGCCCAACACTTGGAGCTCGTGTCTTCCGATTGAGAAATGGTGGACCATTTACAAACACGTTGCACAAACTATACCGTTCATCGTGTCTTTGTTCATCAACGTGGCTCTGTACGTGAACATAGTGCGCGGCCTTAACGCGTCCGTCAGACGCGCGCGTCTGACCAGCATCAAGGACAAAAACGTCAAACTGCGCAACCAGATTGCGTGGATGCTGATTGTCAATGGCCTTGTCTTCTTTGTTTTGCTTGGTCCGTACGAAATCTTGTCGTTGGTCAAAGCTACGGTGCCCATCGGTTCAACTGGTTCAACTGCCGTCTTAGAGGAGCTCTTCAAGTGCTTGTCTTACGTCAATTCAGCCATCAACCCAGTGATTTACATTTCGATGAGCAGCAGATATCGAGCCGCCTTCGGGCTTGTGTTCATCCCGCCTTTTGGTAAGAACAAGTTCCGTAAGGCTAACAATGCTTCGCAGAATAGCGCCATATCCAGCCTGCTTGACATCTGCAGGGATTCTCAGGTTTGAGTCGCACACCATCGACATGGGATCATGGACAAATCCTCTCCGTTTCGCCAAGACATGAACGACAGACTCTTTACTCTGTAAAACTCACATTCAAAAGTGTTTGTGGAAATTGGATCTCTGGGATTCCGCAAAAGCATGGCTTCGGGTCATGTACTTAGTATTAACTTTCTCTTGTTGTGCCTCAATAAGAGTGTGAGGATTCGTCGAGAGCGTGGTTTGTGGATCTGAAAGAATTTCAGGAGCTCTTTATCCCGCCAAGGTAAGTTAATCTGATGCGAAGACTTCACCAGAGTCAGGTAAACTACTGACTCGTGGAAAGAGGTCATCATGATGGCTTTGATATCCTCTTCTGGGACGTCACCTGATACATCAGCTCAGTTTACCTTTTATATTAAACAGCTCCCAATCACTTCAGAACTCCTACGCCCATGAGCAGACACCTTCTGTTTTCTACTCCCACCTCCGAAGACAGCGGATTTGATTTTGTAACCACACTTTGATAAACTGCTCCAACCATATCCTCAAAACACTATGATTACGGACGCAAAACGGCGTAATGAACTGACGCTACCTGGGACAGCAAGAAATCGGCGAATTAGAAACTCTTTGACCAAACACAGAAATCGAATTGAATTTGTTAAACTATCACCCTGTTATCTTGTATGTGACGACACCCAAAATTGTTAATTAAGAATATACAAATGTATTCGAGTTAAAACACACAATATTCGTGTAATAGTTCAGTCACACGCACAATCACCTCTAATTTAAAATGCATGTGTACATATCTAAATTTATAGAATCCTTTCGCTGCAATCCAGCCGAAAAGTGTTTGGGTTTGAGGGGAAAAAGAGTTTATATTGTTATCATTCTCCACCCTGTACGTTGTATATAAATTGTTTCATGGTATGTTTAACAATATTTCTAAATACACCTCCAGAATTTTTTTAAGAGATTGATTTGAATTTGATAGTGAATATTGGCATTACGCTTGCGACTTGCATTTTGGCTGCAACGTGTATGTCCCCAATTAAGATGCCTTAATCATTTTATACATGTCAGAAATAACATTTTGTCGTAACACGAGTTCTTTAAAACAAATATATACATGTACATATCCAATACGAGATACCAACAGAATGTCGAATCAATGTTAGATATTGGGATTGCTAGATTAAATTCAGCATATTTCGTTCAGGGAAATGCTAAATTTTTCAAGTGTTTGCGGTCCCTCAATATCGCAATCTTTTATACCGAAAATAATTCTCAACCCCAAAATGTGCAGGGATAGAAACATTCAGAATGTACCGTAACCCGTACAATTTGGAGATGGGGTATATATATATATATAATTGTATTATGTGTATTATTTCACAAGGAACAAACAAACGTATGAAAAATATAAATATTGATAAAAAAAAATTGCAGAACTGTTTCGAAAATAATATTTGCAAAAAAAAATTCAGTTGTAGTGTTGTATCGGTTATTAAAATCAGTCAGGTTTTTATCGTTCTTATCACTCATCGGTATTCTTGCATTGCAATGAAAGACATACCAGTAACGTTGTATATAAATCAATCTGTGGATATGAAGACACAGATTTGTTTTAAGAACCTTGCTGTTGTTCTTGCACAGTAAAAGACGAGTAATAATCCCATCTATATGATTGCAAAGAGTGGCGTTTTGTAGTGCAAAGTTATGATGCTCAAATATCAACAAGTTGACGAAGTTTGACATGGATACTTCACTTTTTATAATCGCAAAGATCAGAGAATGGATTGACTTAATTGAAGTGTTATATGAAATGATACCATGATTACCACTCTGATCAAGACCAAACTTACATATTTTATTTCAGTGTTCCGTTTTAACAGGGGCCAAGTAATAGTCTCCAGGTGTATATATTTAAACATTTCCAGTTTGTATCATAAGCACCGGTCAATATAGTGCCTTTAATGCAGGTCGTATCAAGTGACTACATGGGCGTAAATCCCGGGTGGGGTGAGGAGGATATATCCCCACACTGTTTGACCGGGGGGCATTGGATCACTCCCCCAGATTGTTTATGGTGGGAAACAAAATATGCTGAATTTGACGTTATTTTTCAGCTTTCCAACGGTCCCATTTTTTTTAAAGAATTTTGAAAAAACGGAGATCAAACAGTACAAAAGCTTGCACTGTTTGCATGTACGGTTATGCACGCAACATGTACATTTGTATCATGAACAGCGCTCCTAGTGTCCCCCCCCCCCTCTTTTTTTTTTTCCACGGCCGGGCAATTTTCTGATTTTTCCGTATGGTCATCCCCAATCCCCCACCCACTCGATGGCCAACACGGATTTACGCCACTGCGTGACGCTTCCAGTAAAATGAATGGGACCTACATCTTTGCTATGACCAAAAACGTGCACGAATATCTGAAAGTAAAAAAAACTGAAGCCAATTTATTCGTTATATCATTTGATATTTAACGGCCATTGTGTATTTTTTTTTGGCCGTTGGGTGGAACATGCAGCTTACGATAACATGTCCAATTGTTGCAGCCAAGAGATAAGATAATGTTTTCTCGTGTTTTGGACTTTTATGTGGGGCCAGAACTTACATTTCTTGTCCTTAGGCCAAATAAATATTAAAAAAAAACAGGTTTAGCGTCCACGCCCGCTTCCTTTTTGGAGGCCGCCTACTTTGTTTTTATGCGTTAAACCGAAAAAATGATATATATTAAACAGTGACATCATTTTGGCCTCTTTGTCTGCTACATCTAGCCTATGTAAAGCTGGTATGTTATTTCCTGAGTCCAGGTGGAGGCAATTTAAAAAAGAAAATGGCGGTCATTTTGAATAATAGCCCGGCCGGTCGTTTTTGAAGAAAAAAAAAATGAAGTGCCTCCCCCTTACTTTTTTTTTTAAAGCAGGACGCTAAACATGTTTTTTTTTTTTAATTTGGCCTTAAAGGTTGAACACATTTTTTGTACATAATTGCTCCATTTCAATATTGGTATATCATTCGTAGCGTTGTAATGTTGGTCGGGTTTCTTTGTTTTGTTCGACCGGAAGTAACCTCCATCATCACCAATGTGTTTTGACCGGAATGAAGCCAAGTAAGGTGCGTGTTTGAGAACCGTTCCGCTTCTTTCAACTCGTCCGCTTCGTGACAGTACACCCGGATACAGATATTTGTTTTACCTAATAACAGGAAGAGAACGCAACACGAGCGGAGATGAGGTGTTGAATCGAATACATTTTCAGGTCAAGTAAACCACATCGGTTCGCGACGAGTCGCACGCATGAATATTTGAAACACAGTTAAGTTGGGGAAGGCATGCCAGAACCAGATAATGACCGTAAAAGCTGTTGAGTAGACATCCGCTGTAACTTTGTTTCACTATTCACTCTTAAGAAAAACACGTCACGTCATTTATCTATGTCCGCAAAATAGATGTGCGTTTATAAGCGAAAGTATTCAAATTATGTTCATGTTTAATATGTTGTAAAATGTTAAATTCAGCTGTGTTAATGCCATGGTCTTATATTTCATGTCAGTGTCACTATTGCAAGACATTATTATTATCACTGTAAAACTGAGTATTCATTTTACTTCTCGGGTTTTATTATGTAGAATGCACCACTCATTAATTGTTATATGGCACCGTACAGTATGTGTTATACCACGTATTTTGACCGATATTCAGTTTAGTAGGATTTGTTTTTGGACAGCAGGTGTGGAATAGGGGGAGGTGGTACTGATTGATTAACAGATATACGGTAAATTAAAGGTTTCCCGGTACGCTACCGTCCTAGCAATTAAGGTCAATGACACGATGACAGGACGCGCTGGTAATAAACAGACTCGTTTCCGCGCACCGTGTGGTTATGATAAACACAAGAAACTTCAGCATGTGGGAGACGCCGCGTGTATATACGTTAATGTCATGTGCAACATTCTTCTAGTCCTCTGAAGTTCACGGGAGGTTTTAAATTACAGAAAGTTATTGTTCCTGTCACGCAATAATGCTCCCGTCACGCGCGAACACTCGCCAAAGACATCCGTCTGTCTTCAGAAGACGTCGCCAAAAGAACTTGTTTGGTTAGAGATGAGAAGAGAATATGGCTCATCGGCAAAAGAAATCTGCCTCGCTTGACTTATGGGTATAGTTTATATTACAGTACGTCCTGCTAACTCGGCGCAGGCAGACCCTGGGATGAGTATACAACCGCATCGTATCGGTTTTACGAGTAATTAGACCCACTGTCGCTCCCCTCTCGTTTACAAAGTCATAACAACTGTGGCGAATGATGATTGCCTCTTTCTTCAAGACACCGGCATGTCACTTGTAACTGTGTTCGTGTTTCATCACTGTCCTTTCACTTGTTGGGCATCGATTTCATGTACAGATACCATATTTATAGTGTACGCGAGAGGATGTGATACTATGCGCTTCGCGCATTTGTAGGCATGGTTCGGTCGGTTTGGTATAAACTTAAACCTGGTATGCCGATTTCTTTAATTTGTTGTCAGAGGTCATCAGTACATAAGGTTATTGGGTTGATGCTTCGGCTGTTTTCCCTTCCCGTTTCCTTCATCATGATGCTGGGAAAATTAATCGATATGTGTCTTGCTCTTTGGTACGTGCAAATATCCCGTGGCACACCGTGGCACACTAAACATTAATCAGTGTTTTGGCTATTTAATCTTGTTCACGTATCTACTTTTTCACCCTTTATCGGAAACATTTTTGTTGGACCATTTAGCCTATACTTGCACAATTACATCTGAGTATACAGCTCTTTGTCATTTTCCTTAAGCCGCGTGATATATCATTAGTTTTAATACGAAATGCATCTGACTTAAAATAGTTATTCGTTTATTTGTCCGGTATAGTGTGTTATAATCCCTGTGTTTCCTCACCAAACCTCACTAAGAAGAAATAAGTGGCGCAGCTCTCAGTTTGTCAACGAACAAATGGACAGACCAACGAACGAATGACTGCAATCTAGCTTATGTATAAATATTGATGAATTTATTTTACAACTAAACAATAAAAGAGAGTGCAAACGACTTGGTCCTCGTCGGGCAATTCAAGCTGATGACGACTCAGAGTGCATAATTTTTTTTTTGGGGGGGGGGAAGGGCAACATCAGCAGGAGCTTGGGTTTTGCACAGTTCATTTTACAAGCAAAAATAATATTGGTTTATGGGACTGACTATCTGAATCCAACCATGTGACATAAAATGATAATCGCACCGTCCGGTCCTTGTGATATTTTGGGGGTCTCTTTGGCTGATTGTTTTAAAGTATTGATCTGAGGTGTACCTTTTCGTGTATTTGTCAGCCTTAAGAGGAAGACAGGCGTTTCCTGAAGTGGGAGCTGAGAGGATCAGGAATTGATTTTTTTTATTCATGATATCCTGGATAAACATTTCTTACGTTTTGTAATAACAACACGGGAAGGGGTAAGTGGTCGTTGTGACACCAATTGTCAATCCACTACAAGTATACTGTGCGTTTATACTGAAAGAAATTGATTGAGAATTAATATTCATCTCATGATGCAAACGATGTCTGCATATTAAGCCTACCTCCTATGACATGTTTGTATTCTTTAAACACTCCAAATGGGACTAAATTAGATCATTGATGTGGAACTTTGCAAAAATCGGTGCAATGACGTTATGATAAAATCGTGTTATGGATATTTTTTACTTTGAGTCGCATGAGCCCATATCTGCTTTTGTTAATTAATGGGATGGAAACAATACCGGCATACTGTTTTCAGTGACATTACTGACAATGACATACGGACAGCTTGACAGATCGACATCTGCAGTAATAATTAATGCTACCGTAGGCCTAGGATTGAAGAAATTATGCGAACATTTGTGATTAAAAACATTCAAAAGAATCCAAACTCCTAAATGAGAATATAATCGTCGAATACAGATGTGTTTAAGGTATAGATGGACGAACCTTATAACAGACATGAAATTATGAACATCTTGAAAAAGTTAGAGGGTCAGACATTTCTCAACGGCAAAGTTGAAAGAGACGTGGTGGCTGGTTGTGATAAGTCATACCAAATTTAAAGATGTGGTGTTTGTTTTTAATTTTTTTTTGAAATATAACTTTGTAGAACATTTTAAATCAATTTTTTTGGGTGTAAATTGCTTATGATGATATGAAATAATCACCCCAAACCTAAAACCTTAAATCCCAAACCTAGTTACATTGTATGAAACATTTAAGTGTATTTAAATATTTGTTTAGCGTGAAAGGAAAACACTTCAGGCAGAATCACAGATGTCTTATTTAAGTTTTTGTCCAGATCCATTTCCTAAGCAATCAAACCATGCATTCCTGCATGTGACAGTCTAATCTAAACACAAAGGCCTAGCGTTTGAGACACCTGCAAATATTAAACGTCTTACTTGACAGACAGCATCCTCAGTTTTCACTTTTACCCCTAGGCCTGTATTTGCAAGATATATCATATAATCTCAGCAATCCGTTGTTATGGATTTTGTGAATGACAACACTCTTCAATGGTTGGTGTGCTGTTCGGTGTCATATTCCAATTTTTGCAAGGAACGGCGCGTTTATGTCTACCTTGTGCGAATTGAAATTAAGAAGGCCGGGGCGTTGTGTTGGATAATGTTTGTGTAAGGCCTGTTCAAAATCTGGATGAGGATTCTGTTTCAGTTGTTTTCTGAGAAATTAAATTTTTCGTTCACTGTTATTGTATTTTTCATTCATTGTTATCGTAAAGAGTTTCTTTAAAAATCCAATTTAATGGCATCTCTGTTAATCAAATGACGAACAGGGAGAACTGAGTCTCATGATTGTTTAGACCATTGGATGTCCAGCTCAAAAATCTTCATGATCGGAGATTGTCCTGTAGAGAACGCTATTTATGCATGCTCTTTTGCTTGGACTGAATATTTTCACTGCCAATTAACATTTACTCGCCTTTTCCAAGCTAACGTTACACTAACCTCTAATTACAAAATGCTGTGGCTTGCGTTTCTTGTACTTCATCGATATCTTAACAAGTAGTCACTCCATCAACACGGTCTTAAATTGCAATCGATAGCACAAAGTTAGTGTCCCTGCATGTCCAGTTTATCCGTTGCTTGACGCTTCACCCTCTTTCCCATGCCTCCTGATTATGTGTAGAAAACCTATACTCCTTTCTATATAGGACCCTCATTTCGTCAAAGGAAAAGTCTCTTGAGGCGTAGAAAACAGCCCGTGCATTTCCTCAATCCGTGGACCCGTGCCCGCCTGTTCGACTTGAAGAAGCCACACCAATTCAGTGGCCATGCGATCGCCTTGAACCGCGTTTCTTTGTAACACCGTTTAAATTAAGCGCACGTCCCCCGACGCATTGGATATTTTTCGGCATCTCCTCTAGGTATACCGCTGACACACCGTGAGTGCTTGGCCATTATGAATTTACTGGGATAAACTTTAAAAGGATTCAATCAAACCTACTTGATACATTTCTCAACGGCTGATAGGTCGAGTAGGGTAAAGCAGGATGATAAAGCTAGCGCGTCCGTAAAAAGCACCAATAATTTTATGAAATGCATCCTTGAAACCTTTTAGTGAATTGGATTGTATTTTAATGCCTTCGTTTACCTCTTTCTCGAAGTGTACCGTAATTATTGACGTTCATTTCTGATTAGCTTAAAAACTTTATTAATGTAAATATAAATGTTAGTCTTGGTGTGGGTAAATACAAAGCCCTAGCTTTTTGTTTAATTTCTAAGACTAATTTTAGGCCTTGTATATATTCGCACTAAAATACTTTTCTGGTTATCGATTCTGGAGCAACCAGTCGGACCTATGTCACCTATCTGACATGACTTGTAAAT